GAAGTGCGCTGAGAAATACTGATGGAGCCGTGAGGGGGGTGTGACTGGATCCTACCAAGGTCAGAGGGAGGATTTCAGACTTGGAAATGACTAGAGGGAGAAACTGCAATAAAGTTCGAGTTGGTGCGACGATACCAAGTCCTCTCTGCTGGGAGGAACAGAAGGCCGCAGACAGGCTAATGGACGGCGCGACGGAACCTACCAATAGAGCGAGGGGTGGGTGAAAGGACTGGCGTAGGCGGTGACGTGGCATAGAGCACAAAGGACTACAACTCCCAGCTGGCCTCGCGCGGCCTGGGCGGGATCTGGAGACCGGGCCTAGCCTCTTGCCCATTCGCCCTGGGCACGCCTACTGTCCCTTGTGCCTTATAGCAGTTACTTACTCTGAAAGGACTGTGCAGGGGTATTTCTTGCTTCGGCTTTTCACCTGTGATATTACCTAGCCTTCGAGTACCTGAGCTCAAATTAACTCATTGTGATAAGTGCTTCGCGCCGTATCTACTCAAATGTTACTTTGTGTAGCCCGGGCTGACCTCGAGCTCCTTTATTGGGAGTATGCACCGTCACACTTGGCTGGCGAGCTAGTAGGGTACTGAGAGTTGAAGTCTTTGGGGTGCAAGGGAAAGCTCTCCCCTGCTTTCTTTTAAACAAGAAAACCTATTGGTAGTCTACCGTGTTCTGCCTGGATGATCCATACACTACTTTCACCAAATGATACCTGGCCCCTCACAGCACATACCACAAGCTAACCGGAACAAATGCCCTGGGCAGTAGGCTAGCTTTATTTAATGTTGTGTTTTATAGCTGATTAAAAAAAAAAAAAGCTAGGAGGGGAGCAGCAAGAGAGCTCAGCTGATAAGAGTGCTTGCCTGCCTGCCTGCCATCAAGCATGACAATCTCGCAAACCCACACGAGGAGCAAGCCAACCCCTGCAAAGCGCCCCCTGAGCCCCACACAAGTCCCATGGCAAATATGCACACAGTAATTCAGAGCCTGCTTGGACTATAAAGTTCAAAATCTGACTAAGGACAGTTAGTTAGGACAGCTAACTTAGCAAGGCCTTGTCTCAAAAAAAAAAAAAAGACGGGAGAACCCAGGAGTAATGGCACACAGCAGTAATCAAGAGGTGAAGGGACAAGGACCAGAAGTTCAAAGCCATCATCAGCAACCTAGTGAGACCAAAGCCAGCCTGGACTACACAGAACTGCCTCAAAACCAGCAATAACCAGTCTCGGCAGAGGGAAAGCTGACTGGTGGAGGACGCATGGCTGCAATGGGGTTGGCAGCGGTCAGTGGCAACAGCTGATTTTGAACCCGAGCCCAAAGGATTTTGCAGAGAGAGTGGGGTACAGGATGACAGACAGAGCCAAGGCTGCCCGCACTGAAGCAGCAAGTCAGACTGAAGAACAGGTGGGACACAACTGTCCAGGAGGAACAATTTCTTATTTTTAAAGTTTTATATTTTTGTGTGTGCATAAGTATTTTGCCTGCATGTATGTCTCTATACCTTGTGCTTGCTTGCCTGGTGACTGTACAGGCTAGAAGAGAGTTTAGGATTTAGGATCCCCTGGAACTGGAGTTAAAGATGGTTGTGAGTTGCCATGTAGATGCTAGGACTCAAATCTGTATCTACTTCCTCTGTCATTGCTCCAGTCTCTATTTCTCTATTTTGGCGTTTATTTATTCTCTCTCTCTCTCTCTCTCTCTCTCTCTCACACACACACACACACACACACACACACACGTCACCACTCGTTTTTGGAAGTCAGAGCATCACTCCTCTTTGGAGTTAATCCCAGAGATGAACTCAGCTCTAGGGTTTGCTGCAGCTGCCTTTACAGGCTGACACACACACCCCCCCATGCCCCTTTTCACTGCTTTTAGGAAATGTCTCACTATGTAGCTCAGGCTGGTCTTGAACTCCAGATCTTCTTGCCTTAGCAGCACAAGTGCTGGGGACACAGGCATTGCCAATATGCCCTAGCTATAATGTTCCTCGTTGGTATGAGATAGTCACTACTTCTGTAGATAATGGGATGCAGGAAGCATGGCGCCACACTTCAGGGCTATGACAGATCACTGCCAAGGTTTTTTGTTTTTTTTTTTTTTGGAGGGGAGGGGGTGTGTGGATGGTTTGGATTTTTGTGGGGAGTAATTTTGTTTGTTTAGACAAGATCTATGTAGCTCTAGTTAGCATGGAACTCACTATATATACAAGGCTGGCCTCAAACTGACAGAAATTTACCTGCTCTGCTTCTTGAGTGCTGGCAGGGATTAAAGGCATGAGCCACGATGTTTTCTGTGTATCCCTAGCTGTCCTGAAACTCATTGATATACTTGCCTCTGATCCCTAGCACTGGTATTACCACCAAGTTTTTTAATCCTTGTAAGTTTATGGACAGCCAAGGCTACACATTTGGACTCTGTCTCTAAAAAGGGAGGCACTGGAGAGATAAGTCAGCAATTAAGAGCATTAATTGCTCTTCCAGAGGACCCAGGTTTGATCCCCAGCACCCACTTGGCAGCTCACAAATATCTGTTAATTCCAGTTCCAGGGGATTGATCCTATGCCTTTTTTGGCCTCTATAGGCACCAAGCAAGTACATACAGATATACATGCAGACAAAACACCTATAAATATAAAGGAAACATTTAAAATATATAATGAAAATGTAAATTAAAAGAGCAAGGGAAACTGGGTGTGGTGATGGCAGTGGCGCACCCTCTCATCACTTGGGAGGCAGAGGCAGGCGGATCTCTGTGAGTTTGGGGCCAGCCTGGTCTACAAGAGTTAGTTTTCAGGGCAGGCTCCAAATCTACAGAGAAACCCTGTCTCAAAAAACTAAAAATAAATAAATAAATCATTAAAAAAAAAGATTTTCATATCTCAAAACAAACTGATAGAAACTTCCAACAATACAATGCCAGGTACAAATACCTGATTCATGAGGTACCATGGTTTTTGGGTTTCCCCTAACCAAGTTTTGCATAGGCTTTGTATCCATGGGAAACTCTCAGTCTCACCTGGGGCAACAAAAGGTATCTGTTACACAAAGAAGGCCTAGCGAGCCAGCCAGGCCCAGCGGGGTGTTGTGGCTAGTGGAGGTTGCTAACCCTCTCCTGCTAGGCCAGCAGGACAATCCGCAACAGCGGCTCATGCCCACTAACCTGTGTCCACAGCAGCAAAGAAACAAGAACCCCGGCCTCTGTCTCCTTGGGTTCCTAGCCAGTTTCCCAGCGTCTCGCGGAAACCTAGAAGACTCCTCCTCCTGTCTCATCTCCCAAGTGTGTTTACAAGCAAGTATCACCATACCCAGCTCAGCTTCCTTTTATTAAGCATAAAGCTGTGATTTCTCATTTAACTCTTAAAGGGCTCTTCAGGGGCTAGCAGTATGGCTCAGCAGGTAAAGCTGGCTGCCAAACCTGAGAACCTGAGTTTGATCCCCTGGGGCCCTCTGACTTACACACACACACACACACACACAAGTACAGTAAACAAAAGACTACAGTCTCAGCTTAACTGAATCCTGCCTTGCAGCTGACAGTGACAGTCACCTGCTGCTTTGGCCACTGTCCCTTCTGAAGCCTGTGTGGGTGAAGTATCTTCTAATTAGTGCATGACATGCCCTACTGGAAGACATGCGCCATCTCTACTGCCTACCCCAGTAGGGAACGAGAGCAAAGCCAGCCTTCCATAGGTACACCCTAGGACTGACCTGACTGAAGGGAGCTTGTGAGTATGTGTGTGCGCATGTGTTTTCTTTCTTAGAAAAGGAATAATACCTCCCAAGCACCTCATGGCCTAAACTTACTGAAGCCACACAGATCAGTCCGAGTCACGGCAGTGGCATTATCCACATCTTGAAGTGGGCTGGAGATGGAAGCTAAGACCTTGAACAAGCAGTTCAAAACTACAGAGCACTGCCTTCAGCTCCTCACTGGGGAATTCTAGACAGCTCTACATTGAGCCACACCCCAGCCTCAGACCTGATTGGCCTTTTGGGGTAAGAGGATGGGAAGTGTGAAGAGGCTGTGACTTTTTTGAGGGGCTTCTGTGTGTAGCTCTGGCTGTCCTGGAACTCACTCGGTAGAC